CATTCGCAATCGGATCGGATACGGAGTTCGCAAACGGATAGAATATGTAGAAATACGAAATAATGTGCTGTGGTTTTCTGAAAACGGGTCGCGTGCGGTCCGTATGCGGTTCCTATTTCAACCGCGCGCGAAAGCTGAGCGTCCGTAACGGATCCGTTCGCATTTTACCTGAAAATTTTTTTTTTTGAGAAAATCGCCATTGAGAAAATCGCCTTTGCATTTTTTCAATTTTCGAAAAAATTTCTAATGTGCTAGAATTAGTTCAAAACAAAGAGAATCAATAAAAAAGTTGTTTCACAAGATTCGATAACGTATGTCCATTTCTACAAGTCAGATACGGTCACCGGAAAGAATGAAAAAAAAATTCAAAAAAAGTTTAGCAGCTCGAGGAAGTCGAACCAGAGAGTACCCGCTTCATATTCTTCCTCACTATCCATTCGACCACGCTTCCACATTCTCTCAACGCTTCAAAACTTATATACGTGAGGAAGGAATTGAAAATCCACATCATTTTTGGAAAATTTCGACCCAATTTTCTCGAAAACTACCGCGACAATGCACTTTTTGAAAACAGATTTGGAATCAGGAAAATGTCAGCTTTCAGATGATAAAGGTCACCACCCGTATCGCCACACCCGAGTTGGGGCCTTCCCTAGTTAGACGCATTTGCGGTGCATTCACGTATTTTCGGTGTCTTGACGCGACTTTCGTGTATTCCAGATCATTATTCCAGATCATTATAATTGTCTACCTCTCTTTCAAAAAACGGTCAGGCCAATCCAAATTTTCAGAAAACACAAGAGAAAAACAAGAAAACATTTTTTTTCGATTTCAAAATTTGCAGGCATTCCTGACCAATCCCTATTTTAAAAGGTGGCAATTACAATATGAAGATTCGGAGGGAGATGACATGATTCATAACATTCTGGGACGTATACCACATGAAGAACAGGAGAAGTGGTTCTATGGAATTCCGAATTCCACGGAAGTTCTTTGTATTCAAAGCGTGTATCAAACCGTTTGGACTGTGTCTTTTACTCGAATTAATCTAGTTGATGTCCCAGAAAATGCATGGGTTCATTGGGAATAAATAATTTTTTGTTAAATTTTTTTTTCAAATGTCGAAATATCGATTTTTATAAAATCAGACATTCAAAAAAATTGATAATTTCTCAGAAATTCATTAGTTCAGCACAGAAAATTAGATCAAATATATGAAAAGAACAAAACCACAAATGCGATGAAAAAACCAAATTTAGTGCCTCCATTTTTTGCCAATCCAGCCACCACATTCTCCTCAATTCCACATTCATTAGTTCCTCTTCGAATTTTGAAAAATCCTTTTTCTCCAAAATCAGTACCCCAAGAATTGGCAACCAACCAGTAATCCACTTTATTTTCTGTACCCCATCCGATAATTTTCACTGCATGTGCTCCTGTTAATTTCCCTGACACATAATGATAAACTCCTGATTTGTATTGATAAAAATCTTCGAATACTCTGTAAGAGACCTCCACAGGACCATTATTATAGATCTCAGTTTGAATTGTTATAATCGCATCTGTGGAGATTTTGTTGGAGGATGTTGTCGTGGAGAGACGGTAGGCAGATTTTCCTGGAAACGAAATTTAGAAGGTTTCGAAAGTTTCATAGAAATCAGATGATTTTGAAAAGATATATGAGAGTTTGAATATTGAATCCAGAGAGAAAGAGGAAGGGGGAGGGTGCAGACAATTAGAGTCCCTAGCTCTCTGCGTCTCTTCAGGCGGCTATAACTCCTTTCAAAATGATCAGAACTTGATTGAATATTCAGGAGACATAAAGTGAACTTGTTATTCTATTTTCTGAAAGCTTTATAAAAATCCTGTAGTTCTGAAGGGAGTTATGGATGTTTGAATAAGGATAGTGCAGAGTGTCTTGCTTCTCTGTGCCTTTCTTCATACAATTTCCTTCATACCTCCCTTCAAAATGATCAGAACTTGATAAAAGTTTTCGGACATATAACTTGAATCCTGTTCTTCATTTTCTGAAAATTTGATGTGATTCCTACAATCCTGAAGAAAGTTATGCCAGTTTTAGTGAGAAGTGCGTAAAGTATCTAGCTTCCCTGCGTCTCTTCTGATACAACTTCGCTCCTAAATCTGTTCAAAATAGTCTGAATTGGACGAAAATTTCAGGAAACATGAATTAATTTTTTTTTTCATCTTCTGAAAATTTAATGTGATTCCTACTATTCTAAAGGGAGTTATGAGTCATGAAACAAGTCAAGGGTGCAGACAGCTAGAGTTTTTCGTTTATCTGCGTCTCTCTAGGCGTCTATAACTCTGTTCAAAATAGTCAAAAGTCTATGAAAATTCCTGGGTTTTTGAATTAAATTTTGTTTTGATTTCTCGAACTTCATCAAACTCCCATGATTCCGTTATGCGCCTTTAAACATAGACACTCACCGAAACGCTTATCATTTTTATACGTCGCTTCCAAATACCCCGTTTGACACTTTTTCTGACAACTCGGCGTACTTTTCGATGCCTCACAAGAGGAACAAGGTGGAAAAGTGTATGGCTGACACCCTGTTCCATTATAATCTCCACCAGTGACCACTCCAGAATTCATCCAGAATTTCAGGCCCTCCAATGGATAACCTCCTTTACATCCTTCACCACAGCTCGACCCACAACACGATAAAATATCTTCAACTGAGATTATCGGCTGATGCGCTCCACCGGACTGAATACAAATACGATCCGAGATGATTTCAGCTGCTCCAAATGCCCAGCATGCTCCACAGTATGCTTGGTTTCTTATCAGTTTTATCGATTTGCAGTTTGGCCAGTGGTCCCGAGCATCAAATGAGATAGGAACATATACTCCTTGTACAGTAAGGGGTTCATCTTTTGGGGAAATTTCAGAAAATTTGAGATCCATAACTTTGAATTTCATCTCTAACTCAGAAATTGGAGAATATTCTGCTCTCCAAGAATTTTGAATCTTGTTAATATGGTCCACAAGATCCGGACCAGTCAAATTTTGGGACGAAAATCCATTTGGAGAGAGTAGAAGGAGAATCTGAAAATCACAAAGAAATAAAGCTGAAAATTTCAGAAAAAAAAGAAAAAACTCACGAGTTTCAAAACCAATTTCATTTTTGGAAGTCAAGTTATGGAAAATTTTCTAAAAAGTCGCAAACAAATTTTCTTATCAGTATGAATTTTTTCTCCGCTTCTTCCTGCTTATGTACTATTTTTTGTTCTTATCAGTTGACAATTTTTTTTGATGGCGACGAGAAATTTGAAAGAGAAGTTAATTGACATTTTTGGAATCAACAATTTTTGAAAAAGATATGATATTGGATGCTCATTATAATTTAGTCGAAACATCGCATTTCTGAATTTCTGAATTTCTGAATTTCTGAATTTCTGAATTTCTGAATTTCTGAATTTCTGAATTTCTGAATTTCTGAATTTCTGAATTTCTGAATTTCTGAATTTCTGAATTTCTGAATTTCTGAATTTCTGAATTTCTGAATTTCTGAATTTCTGAATTTCTGAATTTCTGAATTTCTGAATTTCTGAATTTCTGAATTTCTGAATTTCTGAATTTCTGAATTTCTGAATTTCTGAATTTCTGAATTTCTGAATTTCTGAATTTCTCTGAATTTCTGAATTTCTGAATTTCTGAATTTCTGAATTTCTGAATTTCTGAATTTCTGAATTTCTGAATTTCTGAATTTCTGAATTTCTGAATAACCAATCCTCGTTTGAAAAATTGGGAAGGGACGTTCCAAAAAATAATGGATCACGGAATTATTTATGAAGTTCTGGGATGTATTCCAAATGGTCAATTGATAGAATGGTTTTTTGAAATTCCGAATTCCCAGGTAATCCTTCGTATTTATGAAAAGTATCGGAACAATTGGGTCTTCACAACCATTGCTTTTACTCGAATTAATTCAGTTGATGTACCAAAAAATGCGTTAATTCAAATACAAATGTTTATATATGTTTTAAAAAGTTTTTTGTAAATCAGACTACCAAATTTTTTTTTGAACGTGAAAATACGGAATATCATTTTTTTTTTTGAAAAAAATACGAAAATTCGACAATTCAAAAAATATGATAAAATTTATTGGAATCGAAAAAAGAGGAAAAAATCAAAAGAGTTCATACAAATATTTCGCCACAAAATACTTCATCGTCTCTCCATCCAATTCATCCAAATTCATTTTTTTCAAAAATTCCCAAATTTCTTTTTTCGTTTTTTCTTTTTCTAGTAAATATCCCAAATAGTGTCTCAGTCGATATTTTAAAACCATTTCAATTGGAAATTGTTTGCCACGCGGCAATTTTTCAATTAGTTTTGGTTCACAATAACGAATGACATTAAATAATTTCAAGTTATGAGCGAATTGAAGGATTTCTGGAATTTTGGAATCTGAAAATAATTTTTTTGGGATAGTTTTGTTTTTTGAGTTTTTCAACCGTCAATTCGAACTCCATGTGCACATTGCATACACTCTTTTAGAAGTTTGAAATCTTTGAATTCTCCCAAAAATCCAGAGTTTCCGTCGGAGAAAATTTTGGAATGAAGTTTGAGAATCTGAAAAAAAGATTTTTGCATTTTTTTTTTCAAAAAAAAAGTGTCCCACCTCTTCCTCGGCAATTATGAAATCCTCTTCATACTCAAATCGAATCCCATGTTTCTTTTCCTGTCCTTTAAAATGGGAATCCGAAAAGTTGAATCTCCAAATTCTATTCTTCTGAATTGCATCGATTTGAATACCATATGAAATTTTCAACGAATTTTCAGAATTAATCCATCCATTGTCAGGATCAAATAATTCATAAATATTCATCGATTGTCCAGTAATCCTGCGTCCAGATTTTAAAAGAATTTTTCCCCAACTGCTAGCAAGTGTTTCCTTTTTCGGAAATTTCCAATTTTCAAACGAAAGAAAATAACTGAGTCGAAAATTCAATTGCTCATCGTTTTCCGAAATTTTGATTTTTGGACAGATATTGATGAATTCTCCTTTTTTTAGAGTTATATTCCTGAAAAATGTTGATTAAATTTTATTTAGTTCTTTTTTTTTCATACCAATTAACTCCTCCAAGTGATCCGATTTCAATTATTGGAAAATCATTACATTGAATAGTTGTTGAATATTTTCAAATTCGCACGACCCAGTTGTAGTAACTGGGAACAATTTTCAACATTTTTGTTAGAAATTATCTTTAAAAACTCACAAGTATAATTATCCCGGGTTTTTTGGGAATCCATATTTTTCATCGATTTTGCAAAAATTCCAGAAAAAGAAATTGAAAAGACAATTTGGTATTTCAAATTTGAAATTTCTGGTTTTCGGATTTTTAAGAGTTTTTTTGCATTTTCCACGTGACGAATCCACCATAAAAATTGCCCAAATTTTTTTTGACAACACAGGAAATCTAGTTCAGTAGAGCAGGTTTTTCATCGTCTACGGTTCCACAATTTCAAAATTTTGAAAAACAACCCGAATTTTGAAAAACAACCCCTCTCAATGTTTTTCTCCAAATGGTTTCCGTGGAAGTTCTCCTTAAAAATCGGAAAATTTCCCAATTTTTTTTCAGATTGCTCTGGTTCCGGCTGGTCGTTCAACAAAAAAAAGGATATTCATAGTTTCTCGAACTTTGTTGTACGTTTGATTGTTGTTTCTTATATGTTTTCTTAATAAAGTTCCGAATACTAAGTCTACAACTATCATGAAAACTCAGCAAAAATTAAGAGAAACTGAAAAAAGGAGCGGCGGGGGTTTTCAAAGAATGAGTCGGAAACGGATCCGTTACGGATTCGCGTACGGTCCGTATACGATTCCTATTTCATCCGCGCGCGAATGGCGGAGAATCCGTAACGGATTGTTCGCGAATCACCTGTGAATATAATTATTCTAAAGGAAACTATGGCAGATCCCGCAAACGGCACGGCAAAAGCGCGGTCGCGAGTAGGTGAACCGATCGCCCACTTCCATCTGAATTTCGGATTGAATTTTTGAAAACACGTATTTATTTGAAAATCCAGAACAAGATCTTTCAAAAAATTGGAACAGTTTGTTGGGGAGTTTTTCGGACAAACGTGAAAATTACAAATTTCAAAAAATAATAAACAGACATGTTTACGAAAAACGGAAACTTGAAGAAAATTCAGGGAAATTTCGAGAAATCAAATGTTCTGGACATTTTAGAATTGAATGAAAATTTTTTTAAAATTCTTAAATTTATTCGAAATTTTACAAATTTCTGAAATTCAGCAAATTCAAAAAAAAATCAGGAAATTCAAAAATTCCGATTTTAGAACTTTCGGAAAAATTTATTTAAAGGAGGCCAGACAGCAATAGTGTGCTGTGTCGATTGTTGACAATCGACAAAAATCGACGAAAATCGTCAAAATCGGTGTCGATTTCGTCGACTCGATCAAAAATCGACATTCAAAAAGTCGACAGAAAATCGACTTTTCAAAAGTCGATGAAAGTGAAAATCGACAAAAGTCGATTTTTGTCGATTTTGAATCGACTCAAAAAATCGACAAGAATCGACAGAAAATCGACAGAAAATCGACTTTTGTCGACTTTTGTCGACTTTATTGTCCGAGAGGACTACACGACCGGTGACCTAGAAACTGCCTGTGACCGGGGTATTTTTCATGAAAAACAGGCATTTTTCATCGAATTTTCCACTGAAAAACCGTATTTTTCTTGTTTTTTTTTGAGTGTTTTGTTTTTTTTCTGTTTCATTTACGACATTCTTGCTTTTTGCAGATGTATTCGTCACAAAATCAATCTAAAGCGTGGCGATTCTTCGAAAAACAAAGAAACGGACAAACTGTGACCTGTAAACTGTGCGGAAGGAGCATAAAGTTCCATTCTTCGACCACAACGATGCATCAGCACTTAAACAGTCACCACGAAAAAGAAGTTGAAAAAATGGAAAGATCGGTAAGCAGAAAATTATATATTTTTGTTAAATTCTTAATTTTAGATAGTACACAAAGATCAAGAGCCACGGCATCAAATAATTTGAAAAAATGATGCGAATGATGATCTGGCTATGTGAGTTGTATCCCGTTCTAAAAATGAACCACGCTTATCATTTTCAGAGCTATGTGTTCTTCGACTGTGCCTTTCCGATTCCTCAAAAACAAACATTTTCGAGAGTTCGAAAGCTTAATCCAGATCATCAAATTCTGACGCCTGATTCTCTTAGAAAAAAATTAGCAGACAAGGAAAAGGAATATGTGGAAATTAGTAAAAAGTCGATGAAAAATGCTGAGGTTTGATTCAATTCGTATCATCACATAAATAGTTTTTTGTCTTACAGAAGGTCTGGATTTCTGTAGATGGATGGAGCGCAAAATACATGGATAGTACTCTCTATGCCGTTTTTGTGTTTTATGTTGAGAATTTCGAGCGAAAGTCGAAGGTGAGCTATGCTACAAACATCATAGAAACAAACAAGATTATTTCCAGCTTCTGGGAATCGAGCCTATCAGCGCGTCTGCAACGGCAGCTAATGTCGGCAGGCTTGTTGTTGATTTACTTCACAAATTTGGCATAAACTTTGTTCTTCTTCTTCCCTTTTTTTTAAATTTTGTCGCTTTGAATTTTCTTCTATTTTCCTTGCCATCATATTTTGTACCCCAACTTTTTTTCAGGAAACTAAGTTTTACACTATTTGTTTTTTATCCATAAAAATAAAGTTGTTACTCTAAACTAAAGTTGTTACAATGATTTCTTCAAAAAATTAGAAAAAAACATTTCTCGAGGTGAAATTTTACTTTGAAGTCCGGAAAAGTCGATTTTTCATCGACTTTCGTCGATTTTTTGTCGACTTTTGTCGATTTTTCTGTCGATTTTAAGTCGACGCAAAATCGACAAAAGTCGATTCTTGTCGACTTTTGTCGATTTCCGTCGACGCAAAATCGACAACGAAAAGTTCGATTTTCATCGAAAAATAGCCTTTTCGAATTTTTGAATGTCGACTGTGTCGATTTTCAAAGTCGACAAAAATCATCGATTTTCGAGTCGACTCGGCACTCTAGACAGCAAAAATTTCGGGGAAAATTTCAGGGAATGTGTATTTTGCCGTCGCGGTGTTAGCACCTAAAGCGCGCAATCGTACGCGCAAACTACTTTTCATGTTTTTTCATTATTTTTATTTTGCGGCTTTTTTTTTAATTTTTAGCAATTTTAACTGTTTAAAACCCAGTTTTTTTAAATTCATCGTAAATCCCGTAAAAAATAGAACGATTTCGCAATCATTTTGTACAATTGACTAATTATTTCACCACCGTTCATGCATTTTCATAAGGCCTGTGAAAAATTGTTCTTTTCTTGATAGAAATTCCGTCGCTCTTCGTTTCTGTGTTAAAATACCCTAACATTTTTCTAATCTCAGAAATGCAACGAATTTCTCCCTATCTTTATGAGCCAACCCAAGAGAATGCGCTCCAAAAGCAAAAAATAACTTCTGAAAAGAAGAAAAACGAATTGATAACTCTGACATCAGCGCTGTTCAATAATACTCATGGAACGTGTACCTGTAAAAAATGTGAAAGCCGTTCTGGTGGCTGTTGTAACAGCTTACTAGATATCAAAAAATTGACACATTTTGGAAAAATTGTGAGCAAGAAAATCAGGCAAAAGTTTTCAAGCAAATTTCAAGCAAAATCTTGTCTCACCGACCTGCCGGAGTTTTTTGATTTGTTATCTGAACAGGTTTAAAAGTGTAGTCTAGTCGCAGAAAAAATTTTCTTTTAGAATATTTCGAATTTCGCGTTAGGATGTCTCTTTCGTTCGAAGGGCTGCGGACAAAAACCTTTTTCGGAATTTTCGAATAAGTTTATACAATTGGAAAAGAACTTCATAAACCTTTTTGTTTTAGAAGAAAGCAAAGTTTCGCTTATTGCTTTTTTGCCGCTACATTCTGCCCAAAAACAAAGATTTCAAATTCTCTATTGGTTCCGAATTGCATTGCTCGATTCGTACGCAATTTATTCCCGGACCGCAATTTTTCTCGCTTCGAGCCGACTGTCTCTGCTTTGGTTGTAAATGGCTTAATAATTTTTTAATAATGTTCAATTTTTTATCAGACAAAACAAATCGACGAAAGCGATGATGACGATGAAGAAAAAGAACAAGAAAAACAAGAAGAACAAGAAGAGCAAGAAGAACAGGAAGAACAAGAAAAGGAAGAAGAAGACAGAAAAGGAAAAAGAAGAAGTCAGGCAGCAGAGGAGAATTAGTGAGTCTTTGAAATTTATTGTCGTAGATCTCTTCTCAACTCGTAGCTTTCATCATCTTCACTCTCCTCTAAATCATCGAGATTTTCTCCCTCATCATCCATTAGAACTAGATGGTCCCAAACTGAATCGATCTGAAAACGTATAATTGAGAACCCGTCATTAGAAAAAATATCACATCTGAGGCTCTAGTATCTAAATCTGACTCGTATTCATATGAAGAGTCGCTCATTTTGTCATCATCAGTCACAGGAATGAGTTGGTCCCATACAGAATCTGCCTGAAAGTGAAAGTTTATTTTCTGAACTTTTTTTCTTATTTTACATCTGATTCATCTTCGTCCGTCGTACTTACAGTATGACTAGTAAAATCCTCAACATCACTTTCACTATCAGATTGATCACTGTCACTATCATCTCGACGGAGGCGAGCATTTCGTTCTAAAATTCTATCAATTTGCAAACACTTTCTGTGCTACTGAAACCTTCATTTCTCAGTCTATGAGTTGTTTTCTTGATCCCGATTTTCCATCTATAGTCGGTAGGATTTTTTTTAACGTATTTTGTAGAATATCTTTTAGACGTTTTATTATAGTACTTCTTCTCCCTAATGACCACTCTTCTCC